TATGGTCAGCCTAAGTTCTCCATACATTTAAATTCATAGGCCTGGAGTCTGAGTGAAACCACATGACAAGAAACAATGCCACGTCTCATAAATGCGAAAACAATTGATTACATTCTGCCAGCTGTTTGATTTGTGGATGTTGTGATTCTATGTAAATCCCCTTCAGCTACAGCTTATGAATGGACATTATTCAAACATTGTCTAACTTCCCCCCAGGGGACCTACTTTTTTTTCCTGTGTAAAACCATTAGGTGAGTTAGCTTTACTGATGATGCTATGTCACTTATTGGTCATATGATGTTAGGTCATAGCTTATTTTAAACCAAACATGATGTTTTTTGCAAATAGTGTTGTTGCAAATCGTTTTGTTGCAAACACCTTCCCAACCTCAACCACGTGCTAAAACAACAGCATCAACTTTAATTTTGGTTTGGTGCTGATCACGATGCGCTAGCATGCTATCGCTAAACTACCCTAAACTACCGACCACGGTAAGCATTTAAACTGATGAATATCAGCATGTTAGCACTGACCTTGTCAGTATGTTAACATACTATATTCCAGTGTGTTGAGCTAAATGCTAAAGTGCAGCTTCATAGAGGCACTACTATGACTGTAGACTCTTGGCATCATTTAAACCTTTGTGTCGAATACTACTAGTCACATGATGTTAAATGCATTGTTTCCCTACCATTAGGCACTTTCACACCGGAGTACTTTTCCCAGGAATTTTTCCGATATTTCCTGGGATTTTGCGTTCACACCAAAAAGATCTGGAACAAGAACTTTTTTTCCTGGGGAGGAAAAGGTTCCAATTTCTGATTGGCTGGGTGAATTGCAAACCACGCCCTGTAAGACTCAGAAAAGTTTTGGTGAAGCCGCCATTTTATTTGCTCACATTAGCATTATTAGCATTAGCATTAGCCCAGCGCACCAACGGAGAGAGACTAACTTATGGCAACACAAAAGAAAACATGGGAGCGGTGGAATGATGAGGAGGTGTCGGCGCTTCTGGCGATTTACTCTGAAAGCTTCAGTAGAAGATGCTGGGAAGACTCCCAGCAGCCTTCTAAAAGGGTTGCATTAATAATCTTTTTTCTCAAAGTAATGATTGATGAAACTGAGCATTTTGATTCCCTTGCATCATTTTAAAGCACGGCTGGATGAAATGTTATTGGATACCTGTCACTGTAAATAGGTTGCTACGGTATACCCCTGTAATTATGTTGTGATGTCCTTTTGTTTTCTGTTGTTTTTATGTGTAAGTAATGTACCGCAGGTCTCCCTTGAAAAAGAGATCGTTGATCTCAATGGGATTTTTTAACCTGGTTAAATAAAGGTTACAAACAAACAAACAATGAATAAATGGATGTAGAAAAGTCAGAACAATATAGATTTTTATTTTAAAGAAAATTCAGATTTTACATAGTAAAAAACTGTAAATTATAGTGTCCATCCAAAAATTATTTTTTACTTATAGTGAATACTACCCTTGGATGATGGTAAGGTAGACTAAAAGCTTTAGGAATCCAAAGTACAACATATAATAAGTACCCTGTATCAAGATTGATGCAAAACAAGTGACATTTGACCTTTTTAGAGAGGTTTAGCCAAAAACACTCCACCTCTGAGGTGATTTGGGTGGAAATGTTTTTTTTTCCATATCTCTGGCCCCCCTTTGTCGATTTTGATGGTTGACACCTCTTTCTGACCGTTAGAGCCAATAGAATCGAAGGGGGAGTCCCCCACACACACTCGTTGTAAAACAAAAAGGTGGGGGCTTTGCGCATGTAGTTTTGCATGAGAGTGAACCTACACTCTAGCTCTGACATCTAGAAATGGAAAAGCAGTTTTATTGCTCATGGATTATCAGAAATCATTTCAAAGGGACACAGACACATTGGATTAACTTCAGCAGCGGTTTTATCGTTTTAATGCCATAGAAGACCACTTTTGACCAGACTACGATACAGGTAAGCCATGTTAGCGTTTTTAGCTACCTAGCGCCACATGTTTTGATGTCTGTTTTTGTTTATAACGTCGCGATTTCGTATAATTCAGTGATAATGAGGGGACCCTTCGATTCTGAGTCACCTCACGATGTGAAACGATGTCATGGATGTGGAGAAAAGATAAATAATAAGGTTTTGTGAGTGATTTTCGGTGCAGTAATCTGTTAGCATTTTTCGCTCGTTGCTAATTCAGAGGCTCAGCGTTAGCATTGTGGTTTAAAAAAAAAAAAAAAAAGATCAGTTAGATGACTTTCTTCCCGTTACATGGATATAAAACATTCATAGTTTATTAAATGAACATGCCCTCAGACACTGTTTCCTGCAAGATGTTGCGGCAGTGCCCCGGTACCGGGGTCTCTCTGGCTTAAAGGTGGGGTAGGTAATTTTGTGTGCTAGAATTTGAAAATACACAGCCGGAAAAAATCTCCCACTTCCTTACAGAGCCCCTCCTCCAACACACACGAACGCGCACATGACCAATGAGGGCACGAGATAAGTTTGTGCACAGATGGAAGGCTGACAGGCAGGTAGGCCATCCAGTTATTTTAGCCGGGCCGGCTAAAATGATTGGTCGTGCTTTTTACAGTACTACGGCTTCCACAGATTACATTTTTTTATGGATTTTTTGTCAAAGCACTTAAGATATTCATTGCTATCGGGATGTTAAGAGCATTCCATGGAATATAACAAAAAGTGTATCTCGAGCCGGTTTCTCAAACTTACCTACCCCACCTTTAACAGGTTAAACATTAAAAGTGTATTTTTTTATATTTATTTATTTATTTCATTTTGTGTTACTTTTCAATAACGGTGCGTCTACACAGCAGCGTTAAAAAAATCTTGAAACGCTTCTGCCCATTCACTTTGAATGGGGTGACGTCACTTTCCCTCACTGTTCGCCGAAATGCATTGTGGGCAGGCGAGCGGAGATTTTCAGGATTTTCAGGATTCAAAGTTGAACAATGTTCAACTTTTGAGGCTGAGGTGGAAGCGTCAGCCAATCAAATCCCGTGTACGCAAATCTGACAGTTCAAGCTCTAGCCAATCAAACGGCGTGTATGCTGGGAGAGACATACCGCAGGTCATTTCCTCATATTCCAAAAAATGGAGGAGAAATTAGCGGTAGCGAATCAATCACCCGGTGCTTTATGACCAGACCTACCGGGATATAAACCGGAGGAGCCAGGCATGGAGGGAGGTGGCAGAGACAGTGGTATGTTTTCGCCTGTTTTGGGGAGTTTATATCCAGTTTACTTCGGGCTTTTTTGCTTCGTATGTCGCGGGCGGGAGATTCATGTGATTGGTTGTTCGCAAAAAATCCCCAAGCTTCAGATACGCCCACCTCCAAGATTTTTTTAACGCTGCTGTGTAGACGTACCGTAATAGTTGTACTGTCATGAAGTCACATATACTGTAGATTTGAGAATTGTATAAATATATGCAACTGAGGCTGGGGTATTCTGATTTAAAGTGCAAAATACAATCTCAACCAGTTACATCACTGGCACCATCTCCATAGCCACGAATTCCATTATGAGCTACAAAATACATTCATCAACTGTTTTCACAGGCTGAGTATTCCCCATGACAACTACAACTACCTTTAGGAGACATGTTGTTGTAAGCTGTACACTTGTAATGTGTTTGTGAAAATATGTACTTTATGATATTGGGCTTTATAAATCAATTTGATTGCATAGTACACAAATAGAGAACCGCAGTGACGTGTCCTAAAACCCGGAAGTAAACTCCTTCCGGTTCCTTCGTCAAAAACGCAATGCAATTTCTCCATAGGATTTTGGAAAATAGCTCGAAATAAGGTCTGTGGTTGACACACATTTAAGAGACGGATCACGTTTTGTTCAGCCGGATAATATCCACATGTCTACCCTACTTTTATAATTTTCTAATCATAAATCTAGTCGCCAGAAGCAAAATGCTAACGTTATGCTATAAACGAACTACAGCTGCTTCAACGTCACGCCAACTTAAGATCCATATTCAAACATACAGATTCTAAATGGTACAAGTTGAAGCGTTTGTTTGAACAGTTTGCAGGAGGCAGGTACTTGCTTTCAAGCAGAACAGGGCAAACAAACTTAGCGGGAGTGTTTTACGTGTTCGTTGTAATGACGTAAAACGGCCTGGACAACTTCTGTAGTCTTATTCAGCCACATGTTAACAACCATCGTTTTTCAGACACCTAAACTCTTCAAAAATCACTAGCGGAGACACTGCTGATGCATTTAATGTCGTGGAACAAAACGTGATCTGTCTCTTCAATTTGTGTCAAACACAGACCTTATTTCGAGCTATTTTCCAAAATCCTATGGAGAAATTGCATTGCTTTTTGTCGAAGGAACCGGACGTGGTGAAAATGCTAACTTACTTCCGGGTTTTAGGACGCGTCACTGCGGTTCTCTATAAACATGAATTACGAATCAGTTCCTCTTGTATTAGCTGAAGGAGAATGTAGCAAAAAACAAACCCAAAAGTTAATTGGGTAGAAATCCAATAAACACTTGAACAATGCAATACTAGATAATGAATAAGTCTGGTGAAATAGAAAACAAAACAATTAATGAAAAAGCATCAAACAGACAGCCCAGTCTTATCAAGCACTGAACATTTATGGGGATAACACATCATGTAATTCCTCTGACACCCTGCATATGAGACTATTAAATCAACATGTATTACCAAGTACTAACAGACACTTAATGAGATGATTGCAGTTTAAAATCAGGCTTGCTGCATTTCATCAGTGGGGGGCTCTATTATCATAGAAGGAATTTACATTATTTATCTTAAAAACATTTTCACTATTTAAAAATGATCTACTTTCCTCGCGTAATGACTCAAATCTGGCACTATTATCTTCCTCCACTAGTTTTTCAAGCCATATTATATTACATTTATTTATTTAATGCTTTTTTATATACATATTCTTCATCCTTTTAATATATCTTTTCACAAATAAGCCAGTACCTGATATTCCAAAGTCGAAGATGGCTAGATTAACAGTCATGAGTTCAGGCGGCTTCAACTTGGTCTTGCGTTTGATGGTCATATAAATAACATATCCATTCCCTGTTGCAGACAAGATTCCTGTCAAAGACAAAGAGAGAGAGACCATTTTTTAATTCTGAGACACAATTGTTAAGACATTTGAATGCATTATTGCCGCTGAAATGCGGTTGTAAGGCAAGATGGAATATATTTTCTTTTGACTCAATGCACACTAGTTTTTTTCCTGGAGGCCCAAAAACAGGCTATCAATTTTGGATATGTGTGCATTATATAAATATTGAGTTATTGTATTCAAGCACAATTCTAGAAATACTGAAATCAGTGAACAATAAGTATAGAACCTACCCTGCAGACACAGGTTTATTTGATTTTCTAGTTAATATGACAGGAAGTACATGATTCTCCATCTGCACATCCATATTTTCTTGGAAAAGCACATTGTACAGCTTACTTTGAGGTTTCAGACATCCAATATACATACTTTACAGAGGAGGGTGCAAGGCTTGCTTACATGTAAATGCTTATGAAAAACACACGTTTGAAAAGATATTGCAGATATATCAAAAAACATGATAAAACATGAGATCAAAGATATCAAAACAAACATTTGTTAATACTGCGATAAAACAAACATACACTGAGCGAGAAAAGGCTAAACTTACATTTGAAAACCATAACCCAACCTAAGCATGAAGCAAAGACAAAGAGCCACCTAGATACTAAGCTAGCCAAACAAAAAGCTAATATGAATGTGACACTCCAGTTATTTCACCACATAATAATGTCAATGTGATGTGATGTACACAGCAGTATTATTTAAAGTATTTCATTTTTCATTTTAAAAAGCAAACACAAGGAGATGACAGTATGGTAATCAATCCCTCTATCCTATCACCATGTTTTATTGGAAAATAATGACCCCTTCTAAGCATGACTGCTTTGTGTTTAAAATAGCTACTTAGTCATTTAGCTAGCCAACGGCTAATTTGAATGTAACACTCCAGCGATTTCAGCACATAATATAACACTGTAAATGTAATGAAATGTAAACAACAGTATTGTTTAAAATATTAGTCCAAAGTGATTCCATTTTAAAGTGCAAACAAAACGAGATGGCAGCATGGTAAGGAACGCCTCCTACTAAAACCTCATTTTACATCAACATGTTACACTGTTGACAGTAGCTACCATCTCATGGTCTAACACTCTCCTTAACAACTCCATTGATTTTGATGGCCTATCTTGTATTCACTTGACATCAACAGTTCAGGTTTCTCTGTTCAACAGTTTGACAAGAACGTGACAGAACCTCAGGACAAACAAGACATTTCAGTTTGAATTGATCCTGTGTCTTTCAGTACAATGAACACATAATGTGCACTGACACAGCGACCATTGACGGGGTTAACCTTTATCCCTTGAGAGGTATAATGTAGTTTAAAAATAGCTTACAGTTTGTCACTATGGTAATCTGTATGAACATGTAACTATATATATATATATATATATATATATATATATATATATATATATATATATATATATTGTAACATTGTGTGAGAGGGTGCTTTACTTCTTTGGATCTTGTAAGAATAAATATTAAATCAATTGATTTTGTAATGATACACATATTTACTGTCTACTGTCATTCTGATTAACCCTCGTTTCCAGTGGCTGCATGCAGTTAATTCTCATAAACCCACAGGTCCAAAAAGGTAGCAATAACAAGAGAATTATAAGGTTATAATTATTTAAATAACTTAGTGTAAATCTTTCCCCTCAGATAATTCTAGCATCATGGCGTCTGTTTCTACTGCTAGTTTGATGTCACTCAACTGAACCTCTCCTCAAAGACCATCACACCTACCACCCACTTGACCCTCACCTCCTGTATGACTGATTATCAGTTATGGATGCATCAGAACTTACTTTAACTCAAGTGCAATAAATCAGAAATGTTCATAATCAGCCCAGATTCCATCGCCCACTCTAACCAGTCCTTCTCAATAACCAGTGACAGCTCCAATGTTGGAACCTCGACGTCTGAATTATATTTGACCACACCCACTTGTTTCTTAAGCACAGCAGAGGATGTTCTTCCTGAGGCAGCAGAAGAAATTCAACCTGCCAAAGACGATGATGGTGAACTTCTACACCTCCATCATGGAGTCCATCCTCACCTCCTCCATCACCATCTGGTACGCTGCAGCCACAGCCAAGGATAAGGGCAGGCTGCAGCATGTCATCCGCTCTGCAGAGAGGGTGATCGGCTGCAATCAGCCATCCCTCCACGACCTGCACGCCTCCAGGACCCTGAGGCGGGCAGGGAAGATAGTGGCTGACCCCTCCCACCCTGGACACAAACTGTTCCCCCCCCCCTCCCCTCTGGCAGGAGGCTGCGCTCCATCAGGACCTGAACCTCTCTCCATCAGGACCAGAACCTCTCGCCACCTGAACAGTTTCTTCTCCTCCGCTACCGGCCTCTTAAACAAGGCCCGGCCCCCCCCACTGACACTTTACCTCAACCACATCATAGACTCTACACTGATAAAAACGTAAATATTACTTAGATTATGTATTTTACTTCTACAAGAAATTACTAATTTAGTGCTTTAACTCAAAATGTCTCCTTTTATTTAATGTGTTACTTGCATTTTGCATGTAATTTTGTATCATCATTGTGTTAAGTACATTTTAACCATAGAACCAAGTAAATATTACCTAAAGTATTGTGTTGATTGTAAAACGGTTAAAAGCGAATAAAGTTTACCTGGGCAACTTAAGTGAAGGTGGGTGACGCCCTATGACGTCAGAGTAGTTGCACACGGTACAGAGATTCGGGAGAAGAGGACAATTTACTGAGTGGAAGATGGCATGGAACCTCCGGTAATGTGTTGAATAATCGTGGATTTGGAGTCATGTGAGTATATTTATGCGCTTGGTTAACTGGTTACATTCATGTTATCTTGTCAGCTGAATGCAGATATTAAAAACGTACGTTAAGCTGACTGACGCCTCAGTCAGCTTAGCCGGTTAGCTCGTTAGCATGCTAGCTAACTCAGCACGTGGGATAAATCAGATATCAACTTATGTGGGTTAGTTTTTAGTGGGTTATTCAGAGATTCAAACCCGTCGACTAGAGGGTAATTCGCCGTTTCAGATAAAGCTATGGCATTGGCGGACTCACTTATTTAAAAAGTGTTTTTTATTGGGGGGAGCCGGTGTTCGCGCTACATTACGATACTAAAATACTGTGTCAGCTACTATATAGCTTTAGATTGTGTGCCACGCTGCCTGGTGCAGCCAGTATTTAATACTAACAGTGACCTAATGTGATATGACCAAAACCCCATAGCTAATGAGTGATTTTCTATCCACATAACAAAACATATCACAATTTAGTAGGGATGGGTACCGAGCCCCGGTATTAAACGGGCCCCGGGGCTGAATTATTAAAGACCATGGTACCGTTAAGCTCCGACGTTATCGGTCTTTTTATCGGTAGGCAGACATGTAAAAAATATGTCATATGTATTATTGCTACACAAACATTATATTGCAGTTTTAGTGTCGCCAACTCCGTTTCTAATACGCAAGAAGACTGCAAAATGCGTCTATGATTATTTTTAGTATTTTCGATTTTTCCAATCCAGACGAGAGATCTCTCTCCCGCGCCATTACACACACGCGGCTGCTACATGCAGCAACACACACACACGGAGGAGATGGCGGAGAGAACGCGCTCAGACGTGTGGTTAAACTTTAGCCGTCTCGATGTGGACAATGCTCGTTACCCAAAGTGCAATAAGAATTTAGCATGTAAGTGCACCACATTCAGACGGAGAAATGCACCGGGTTCGACTGTCTTTCTAGTAGCTCTGCAGCCCCATCCACGAGTAACGTTTCCACGTCAGGTATTATGTATGCTAGCAGCAACACACGGAGTTAACTCAATTATACAAACATGAATTAATGATTAGAGGTAACAGAGTTATTTATTTGTTAAAGTTTCAGCTATTTTGTTTACAATTCTGTCATCAGATTATTTAATACCATTTGTTAAAACATTGTTGTTTATTTTGATGTGAAATATTATGTATTTAATTTAAATAAAAAGCAATGTTAGTTTTGTTCACAATTTGTTTAGTTAGTTTACCTTATTTATTTCTCCAAAAGTACAGTTAAAAGACCGGATCGATAAGCGGTATCGATAAAAGTAGTAGTACCGTTAAAACCTTAACGATACCCATCCCTACAATTTAGCGTATCTTATGTAAAATCAACCCACTGGTTATGGCTTATTGGCCATGAATGCCAGTTTAACTCCTAAAACTAGAGGCTTGCATGCCAGCTAATGTCAGAGTTGTTGAAACTAGATGTGATTGTATTGTGTAAGCTTATCTTTCGCATTTGTTCCTCTCCCTTTTCTTTTTTTTAGACATTTCTTTTCTCCAGCAGTGAGTGTCTGCAGTCAAAGTACACCAGTAATGAAAGACACCTGACTATGCAGGTAAGTTTACAAAATATTCGTATGGTGTGTAGCTGGGTGATTAGAAATGTTTTCAAAATAAACATTTGCAATATTGCAACATTTCAGTCATATTGAAGTCAAGAGGCCCAAATGAGTCCATAGTATGGTGGCTGAGAAGGGCAAAAGAGAATTACAAAGTGTGAAAAACTATTTAACATTATCAATAACAAAATTCCCAAGATGCGAAACACTTTTACGAGAACTGAGACAAATTTACAAATCCAGAAACACTTTTACAAACTAGAGAACAAAACCGGAAAGGGAATGTTCATCATACCGGAAGTAACGTGAAAGTGATTGACTCAAACTTAAGTTAACACACTTGTGTTGTGTTGAGTCAAATCACCAAATTCATGTTTCTGTGACTGAATGGAAATGACAATAAATAAAAATGTAAAATGAAAAAAACTGCTGGCAGACATTAAATATGTCTCTTAATTTTATTGTGTTCATAATAAAAATGAATTGGAGATCATGAAAAATGTTTGAGTCAATCACTTGCACGTCATTTCAGCTATGATGGACATTCTCTTTCCGGTTTTATTTTCTAGTTTGTAAAAGTGTTTAAACAAATGTTAAAGTGTTTCGGGACATGTTAATTTTGTATTGTTAATGTTAAATTATTATGTCCTTGGTAAAAGTGTTTTGCTAATGTAATTTTGTTTTATAAAATTAAAATTTGTCTCAAGCTTTGTTAAAGTGTTTCACACTTTGTAATTCTCGTTTGCCCTTCCCAGCCACCGTACCTTAGTCAATACCATTAAAACCAATGTAAAATTATGAAGGAAAAAAACATCCATTTAAATTACATTTTGTACTTTCTATATTTCACAGGCTACTAAAGGAAATTAACCTTTCAGCAAATTCTCTCGACAACTAATGAGTACGTTTATCAAGTTATTATTTTTATATGTTTAAGTTGACATAGAAATGTTTATGTAACATGGTTTGGATTTGAAAAGGTTAACATTTGTATTTATGTTTTTTTCCAGTTTCCACAAGATGAGATGGGTGTGTAAAACCTGTGACTTTCAATCAAATAAAAGGATAGGGTTGTTAAAGCACTACAAGCTAAAACATGGACATTTTTCCCGGAGCCAGTCAGTCCCTTGTCTTTACAATGATTGCCCTTGTTCATTTAGAACATGTAATGCCCTTTATGTCCATTTTTCCCGACAGCACACAGAGTCAGCAACAGCAAGGGCAGTTCTTTCATTTAGTTGTCTACTATGCAGTTTGTTTCATTCAGAGAGACAAAACATTGAGCATCTTGGCAGACATTTGAGGAGATATGAAGTTGTCGCATGTGTGTTCAAAAACTGCAGCTTCAAAACCAATATATATTCAACCTTTACTTCTCAAAGACGGAGGAAACATTCTGCACATGGCCCGGAAGACTTTAAAACTGAAGTCTTAAAAAAATACCCTGATCCCACTGTTGCTCAGGATGAGTCAGGTTATGGAAGATGAGGAGAATCCTGAGCCCTCTGTTGATGAATGAGAAGATTTATCTCGGTTCATAAAAGAGAAGTTTGGCCAACTCTTCCTAAAACTAGAGAGCACTTTCAATGTGCCAAACGAGTGTATTGATGAAATAGTAGATGAGCTTCAGTTCATTTCCTGCACTGCCTCCGGTCCAGTTTTAAGAGATGTGGTTCAGTCAACTTTAAAGAGTCATAACTGTGATTTGGATGCAGCTGTATTCTCAGATTTAGTGAAAAATCTCTGCGAGGCACACCCTGTAAGTTCAGCTTTGGGAACAGATGGACCTTTTACTGACTTATACAACATAAATCAACATAAATGTATATAATGTTGTTCTTTGTGTATTTCCTGGAAAACAGCAGTTTTTTTTACAGGGCTGAAGGGCTCCCCTCGCCTGCCTGGAGGCAGGAGGGGGAGAGCCCTCCATACTATAGTCCCTACACACTCTGCACAGGGTCAATGGCTGAGTGGGGGGACAGAGGGGGCACTTGCGTTCTCCCCGTGCTCTTTAGGGACTCAGGAGGGAGAGTGCATAGTGAACCCATACAGGGCTGCGGACTTTCCCTGTCTGCCTATGGGCAGACGCACGGGAGTCCTCAGCACTATTTTTGAGCACACTTTTTTGCGAGGCAAGCGCGTCAGGGTGTGCTCTATCGGCCGCAGCCCGGACTTCTCCACGGTTACAACCGAGGGAGAGGTGAGTGAGGCGCAGTGGCTGCTAAAGCCGGTCAGGGACAGTGAGGTGGAACGGTGTGATGGACGACAGTGCGTGCATACATCGGGGCTCCGCCCACTGTACCCATAGAGTCCAGTAGAGGGCGGAGCCTGTGAGAGATATAACGTCGGGTTACGTATTTTAACCCTTGTTATATAAACACAGGCGGAGCCCTCTACCTTGGGGGCACTGTCTGTCCTATACCGCTCGCTGAAGAGTGGTGTAGGATGGTGGTCAGGAGGCGAGGCCTCCTTTTATAGGGAAGTGAGATGCGCACGCATTCAGGTAGGCCTGCCCCGGGGCCGGCTACATCTATAGAAATCTCAGTAGGTGAATGCTTGCATGATAAGGTAGTACCCATAGAGTCCAGTAGAGGGCTCCGCCTGTGTTTATATAACAAGGGTTACAATACGTAACCCGACGTTTTCAACACAGATTTCATTCTTTTAAGTTTGTAAATGGAATTGGGCAATAAAGGCATAATGTGTGGTAATTGTGCAGAATTATTAATTATTTTTATCCTTACCACAAAGAAAACATATAAAGTCTGTCTCAGTGCGCGCACACACACACACACACACACACACACACACACACAACCACACACACACACACACACACACACACACACACACACACACACACACACACACACACACACACACACACACACACACACACACACACACACACACACACACACACACACACACACACACACACACACACACACACACACACACACACACACACACACACACACACACACACACACACACACACACACACACACACACACACACACACACACACACACACACACACACACACACACACACACACACACACACACACACTTCTTCCAATTATAGTCACATTTTCTAAACAGACGATTATCCCAGTCAGTAAACTCCAGTTTTGAATGGGGTTTGTATTCTTTTCTCCATTGATTGAGCCATCCGATTGCTGAACTCAAACAATTAACGTGTCAAACAATGTCAACGTGAGGTTATTGAGCTGTGAACCCACACAACAGTCATTCAAACATCTCTATTCTTATCTCCTATTTGTAGTAAGGCTTTATGTTCCCAATGAATTCCTAACTGTGTCAAGGCACCAACCGGGGTTGCTAGAAGATTTGTGACAGGCTTTATACTGCTTTCATTTTATTTAACATGCTGCATGTGTATAATCTGTACACATAATGCCTACACTATGACTTTTTATTTTAATTTTATTGGAATAATGGTTATGGCTGCATTTCCATGCAGATAAAAAAAACAAAGCAGATAAAGGTGAAGCGGGAATAAAGGTGATGACAGCCAATTTGTGCCGCAGGGGAACAGAAGGAGCTAGATGATGACTACAATTGAAAGCCAAAAGCACATAAGCCTATGATCGCTTATATGTAATGCATTTACATTCAACCAGCATCTCCTCAGCTCAATGATATATAAAACAATTCATGTCAAGTGTTTGTGTGGGACGTGTGTTCACACAAACCAACAAACAGATTAAAACGTTTGAATTCATGTGGTTGTTTTTCCTGTTTCTCACTTCCACTGCATGCAAATGGCAGTGTGTGCGTGTTTGTTTAGCAAATTAAATTATATCACAACACAATATTTCGTAAGTAGATTCCATACTGAGGTGTTTCTCTAGATGTGCCTTGGGAATGTGTCTGCAAAAGCTTCCTGGTTGAAATCTGCATAAACAGTTTCAGCTTTCAGATTTCTTATTAAAGAGCAATTTAACACCCTGTTTTTACAGGAGCACCCCCTCTTGAAAATGTATGTGATGTTTCCATTAGAGTTTATGGGTGGAGTGTCCCAGGGTTCATCAGAGAGATTTTAAATGTTTTTGGGGGCTCATGTGGAAATAATTATTGATATCTGATCTAAATCAGCCTGTACGTCTCATTGAAAGTCTACAATACAAAGTTGATAAATTGTACATTGAACTGAATTTCTTCTAATTGGGTCACTTCACAAATGCATTGTCATCATCATAATAATCTTGTTTATTAATTTCAAGTTCACATGCGCCAACCGTGCATGCAGCCTGTTGCAGTCTGCCTGCTAAATTTGAAAAATGTTCTGTAATCACAGAAGATATACATGCGCACACGCAACCAGATGCAGATAGGAGAGGTGGCAGAGCAGAGCAAGCTAACGGCGTAACCTATGAGTCAGACAGACGAGCTAACGGTGTTAGCCAGGAGTCAGACTCACATCTTGAGTGAAACTGAAGTATTTCTGAAGTATTTCGATTGATTGATATTGCCTTGCAGATTATGTTGGATATACACTATGCTGATGATAACACATAAGCATACAGCTTGATTGCAGCAACATTCAGACAACAAGTGGGGGAAAAATACATAAATGAAGGGATAAAAGAAGGTCATTTTGCAATCGGACTGACCTATGATGCAGATGTAAATTGCTGCGATGATATCAGCCTCTTTGGAGAGTTTCGAGGCGAAAGGGTCACCATGGAGGAGATAATGGGGGACGTATGCAGTTTGGCTCCACGTCTCGTTCTCCATCACTGCCATCAGGCGGGAATGTCCTAGGAAGTGGAGAAGAAGGCTGAAACTGCTTCTTCAGATTGAAAACAGGTCACACACAGGCACCAGGTATATGGGACACATAATTGCACATGCAGTTGATGAAATGCAAAAACAGGCATAACGTAATACGTGACACATGCCAGTGCGGGGACCCTAGCAGTAGATACAATTGTCAATCATCTTGTAATGTGCTTTCCTACGCTGTGGCTAGAGTGTGTGGATGAAGCACTGGGTTGTTTGTCACAAATTGGTTTATATGGAAGCTTGTGGGGAAGTTAGCTCGTTGCTATCATTAAAATAGCAACAGTAAAGATAAGAATGGCCCCCGCTCTGACCTGGGAATGTCTATTTGAAGCCAACATAAGTCACCTTTGTGATTCGTGTGGATACGTTGAGCTTTCAAATGTGTGTGTATGAGTGTGTGTATGTGCGTGATTGTGGTAGTGGGGGGGGGGGGGGGCATTTCTGGGCCATATGCTTGGGACAGTTAATGAACCTGTTAGGCAAGTTGTTTTGATTAAGTGAGCCATCATGTTGTTACATTCCTTTAGTACCATTTGAATTCAAACTATAAAATTACCTGCCAACCCCAACACAGAGTGCCACCGTATATGTAATAAAGCTTACATACTTCAGTGTTTCCCCTATATACAAATATTGTAATGGTGTATTTTTGCTAAATCTTGAGACATTGCCACTGTATGTACTGGCAGCGCCGATTTTTTGCTAGGGCGCCAGATCTGGGGTAGCTCTAGGAGGAGAAAATATTGTTTTGACCGTTGGCGCTCATCCTAATTTTTGGCCTTGATGTAACAACATTCATAATTAAGTAAATGTAACACCCTTTTCACCCCGGTTACACTTTTAATTTGCCCTGTACGATAGGCGCTGTAAGTGATGAAAGTGGGGGATGTTGGCTTATCAGGCGCCCGCAGCCAAAGTGCGAGCATGGGAGTGAGAGTGAGAGTGAGAGTGAGAGTGAGAGTGAGAGTGAGAGTGAGAGTGAGAGTGAGAGTGAGAGTGAGAGAGAGAGAGAGAGAGAGAGAGAGAACACCGTTGTTATTATAATCTGGTGCTAGCTGCGCTAACGGATATAAGAAGTAGATGTTTCTACAACCAGGGTGGAGGAGAGCTCTCCTGTCAGACTGAGAGGCTCAGTGAGGTAAAGGACTCTCTGAGTGTTTAATTTTATCTCAGTGGGTCTCAAACAAATATGTGTTTACAAATTATGTAAACACATATTTCCAAGGCACTCCTTTATAATTATTAGGATAAATAAAAACAGGTTTGAAATCATTCCACTGTATATAAGACAGTAAACCAAAAATATTGTTTAAAGTTGGAGAGATACAAAAATATGCATAAATAAATAAATGTTAAAGGTGGGGTAGGTAAGTTTGAGAAACCGGCTCGAGATACACTTTTTGTTATATTCCATGGAATGCTCTTAACATCCCGATAGCAATGAATATCTTAAGTGCTTTGACAAAAAATCCATAAAAAGATTTCATCTGTGGAAGCCGTAGTACTGTAAAAAGTACGACCAATCATTTTAGCCGGCCCGGCTAAAATAACTGGATGGCCTACCTGCCTGTCAGCCTTCCATCTGTGCACAAACTTATCTCGTGCCCTCAACCCCCAATACATTTGAAGCCATTTTGACGTATATTACCTATGTCAATAAGTTTCTGTTTTTGTAGTGTATTTGTCTTTTGTAGAGATTTTTCATTTATTCTTTATATATAAAATCTCGCCTAGGGCAGCAAATTGGCTAGAACCGGCCCTGGTACTAGGCCTCAAGAGCCTTTCTTGTGCTGGCAGACACATAGAAAAAAATTGGCGGGGCGCACTTCGCACGCGCATACACTAAAAGATTCCACACGCTCCACGCTCACATTATGCTGGGCCCACGCGCCTTAGCACCGCTGCTATGACTCCATCCTAGGGGAAACACTGTACTTTATTATTTTAGTCCCTTAAAAAAAGAGTCCTGTTGGATACATACGAATAAACAATGACACACTATAGAGTAGTAACAAATTATCAAATTCAATTCCCCTTAGGTTTGACTGGAACCAGAGTTCGCGTTAACCACATTTTTTTAACAATGACGGAAAGATCTGAAAGCCGTCCGTCATGTTGACAGATTAGAACAAACTCAGAACAGCGCCAACGTTTCCCCGCAGCGGGGCTCCGGTATTATGCCGTGTTATGCATGCCCGCCCAAAAGTAAATTATATAGTTTCCAAACCTAACTTTGCCGAACAGATCAACAAAAGTATTTGCTTTACGCTGTGCGCAGGGGCGCCGCCAGGGATTTTGGGCCCCATGAAAAGATATCACATTATTGGGCCCCACCACCAGGCACAGGCCATGCCAACCAAGCACAATTGCTGTAACCACACCTCCAGAACCCAACCGACTCATTTATGCTTTAAATAACTCTACCTGTACAGGCTTGCATCTATCTTGTAGTCCAATACTAACTGCACAATATTTACTGGCACTGAGCAGTGAAAATATAACACTGTGCAGACGTGCAACATTCTGCTGCAGTAGAATTCACTATTTGATATAAGACTAACATTCCTGACATTAGATCTCAATAGTCATCTTTTATGGTGTAAATGCCTTTTTAATAATAACATTTTTGAATGGAACATTCTCAACATGAATGCATAAAGCCAAATAAATATAACTTAAATATGTGGGAAAATACTGTGTTTGAAATGTACAATTTAAATTAGATGTTAGCTTTTTGTTTTGATATATATATATATATATATATATATATATATATTTTGTATTCCAGTCTCCCTTCAGATATGATAAATGGCATGTCATTCAACACAATGCTGCTCACCTCCTTCAGTTGGGAGAAAAGCTGGTTCAGGTTCAGCCTTATGGGGGGGCAGCAGGGCTGCTGAGCCTAAAGATGGGATCGGTTGGTCCTGGCACCAGGGGGAGGGACAACTGATTTAGTATGAATAGCTGATGTACCTGCATTTATTAAATGTCAGCTAAAAGAGCAGTGAAATGAAAAACCTCTGAATTTTCTGTGAAGATTTTAACAGTACGTACTTAATGTCAGCTTAGTAAATTATTATTTACAATGGACTACGCTTAGCTAACAGACTCATTTCCACCACTCATGGACACCCACCCCTTTAGTCCCTCTCTCTTGTCTTTCTCTCCTTTCTTTTCTTTTTTGAAAGGCTGACTTTGTTAGTCATTGAGACATGGATGGTACACACGTAAGTAGCCTACTAGCATCCCTCCTCACATGCTCTCACTCTCTGCTAGAAAGTGCCGGTGCCGCACCGTGTTTGGAGGCAGGACCAAACCATTACATGTAAATAAAACTACATTAAAACTGGGATTCTTTTTTAGAAATAAGGCCTGCTTCTCCACATGTGCGAGGAAACGGCTTGTAGCTGCCACATTTTTGCCACTCTTGGACTACGGGGATGTTGTGTACATGAACGCCTCAGCTCACTCCCTTCATCTGCTGGACGCTGTCTACCATGGGGCTCTGAGGTTCATAACCAACTGTAAACCCCTCACACACCATTGCACGCTGTACTCTTTAGTCAACTGGACATCATTATCAATGCGCAGATCACTGCACTGGTACAAACTCATCTATACCGCTATGCTTGGACTGCTGCCCCTCTACATATCCACTTACATATCACACAAACAGTACAGCTATAGACTACGATCTCAACATTACATCACTCTGTCCGTCCCCTCAGTTCGCACGGTGCTTGGGAAAAAAGCCATATCATACTCTGCCCCCTCGACCTGGAACACACTTCAGCAGGAACTTAAGCTGACCAGTTTGATACCCATCACAGATTTTAAACTAATTTAAAAAAAGCTGGAGAAATCATCTGTGGGTGTTTGCACCTGCTATATCTGAATACTGTACTGTATATGGATTTCAATGACTACTTTTTTTACGATGTATTTTATTGTTGCCTCTGTGTTTAGTGTCCTGTCTGTCTGTAACTATTGTGTGGTAGTGTTACCACTGACAGGTCTCTCTTGCAAATGAGACCTTGTTTCTCAATGAGATTTTACACCTGTATAAATAAAGGCTAAATAAAAAATAAATAGAAGGGGGTGTAATTACAGGGGATAATTACATTTTGGAAGAAAATAAGTTAAATTAATCGTAAGTCTAGTGAGTACATTATCAATATAACGTTCTATTAATGTTAATTATTGATGAATGATGAAAGGTTACTTTTTTTACATTTTTTTCTTAATGTTCTAAAATTGTTTGGGCCCCTGCCAGTCACGGCCCTTAGAACCGTCCTAACTTTTCACCCCCTTGGCCCCTGGCTGTGCGTGCTCCCGCGAGGTGCTGTGGGCATGCATAACACGGCGCTAACAGTTCACGAGCGAGCGTCCACACCCCCGTTGACAGTTCACGAGCGTGCTCTCTCCCCCCCGGCAGAGTTGTGTACAGGCCGACGGGTAATAATGGATTTTGACGGAAATGTTGCGATCCTGTCCGTCAAAATGACGGGCAGCGAAAAAGTCTAGCGCAACCTCTGACTGGAACATATTCAATCATAGATTGTCAGATGGCAGTGGTTTGCCCTTGCTGCACACGCCACTGAAACCCCAAGCCACTTATCAAAAACAGATGTCACAGGCATCAAGAAGAGATTTCCTTACAACGATTTAGCAGAGAAGGGACCCAGGCTGCATGTGCTACAGCTTTCCTCATATGATGATTAATGTGTTGTCAGGTTTAGAGTGGTCTCGGTTGTGCAGGTTCGAGAAAATTATTCTCAGTATACATTTGGACAAACTAACCTGAGAAAAGCATGGATGTAAATACCACAATGAATGAGGGCTCAGTTCCGTTTGCTGTTTCAGTTTCAGGGTCAAGGCACTGTGCGTGCTGGTTCACTTTCACTTGTAGTGGATTATTATTGGGACACTTAAAGTACAATGCCATTGTTAAGGTTATCAGTAACACCTGTGCTTCCCATACAAGTACAAAAAAACTCCATGCACCAAACAGAAGCACACATCTAGAAATAATGCAGAATAAGGCAGAAACAGCTCAAATCTCCCTCTGATTTGTTTACAATTACAACGCCCTAATTAGTTTCACAGCTTTCATCATAACTTAGCCAATCCAATACATGGATGACCCCGTTTTTCCTCTGAAAGTTAATCAGTGGCGCATGAACCTAAAACCAGTGACTCTCAATTAAAATGATACGTTGATCGCCGTGGGCTCTAGGTCCATTACGATATGCATCTTAAGCCCCGCCTCAAATGAGCTGAATTTAGCTTTTAGTGCAGTTTACAACTTTTTGCAATACATTCTCATTATTTGAATAATGGCTTTTGAAGAGTTGGTCCTGTGTTGTTGTGTTAGGGTTAACTTAAAAGAAAAACCCCATTTAAGGTCAATGAGAAAAAGTATTTTTGGTCCCAATGACGTTACATAAGTGACAGAAGTTTTCCACGCCAGGATCACTCCCTGGGGGCTTTAATCCAACATATGACAGCAATCAGTAGTAGCTAAAGAAGCAGAGAAGCAGAGTGTGTGTTTTTTAGAGCAATGAGCCTTCAGAGGATTGAGAGTTTGTTGTCGGGATAACAGACTGTTGAACAAATTGGCTTTCAGACTGTTGGGAACATTTTTCGGAATATGGGGTTTTGGAACAATTAGCCTTCGATATAATGAGCCGTCACTGTTTAATGCCCCATAAATCCTCTGTAGTCTCATTTAGCCACTTGGTAGCAAAAACATTTTTAAAGACATGTGAAGCCTATATTGCCTCCAATTAGGGCAACAGTTGGGCTAGACCAGACCTGGGCATCGTACGGCCCCCGGGCCACATACGGCCCTTTGGTTGACTCTGACCGGCCCGTGTAAGGCTAATTGGAAATGACAAAATAAACATATTTTCTAACTTTACCTCATGCATGGACTAAAGCTGCATTGCTTTTATTTTGAAGTTGTTTTTTATTCACGTGCATAATGACGCAATACGTATATCAAGACGTGCACATTATTGGATCCTTGTCACAAGACGACTTTAGCCCTCAAAAAAATGTCCGCTAAAAAAAGAAAGGTAGATGCTGAATGCAGGGTTTTCAACAAAAATTGGACTGCTAAGTATTTCTTTACTGAAGTCGGAGGTAAAACCGTGTGTTTAGTTTGCGGGGAGCAGATCGCCGTGTTTAAGGAGTACAATGTGAGTCGACATTACGAGACAAAACACGCGGAGAAATATAAAAACTTGACTGACGCTGAAAGGGCGCGGACATCGGAAGCTTTGCTAGCTAAGCTGCAAAAGCAGCAAGGCTTTTTTACCAAGCTTCACACATCCAGTGATGCAGCAACCATGACCAGCTTTGTGATATCCCACAAAATTGCTAAAAACAGTAAGCCGTTCTCGGAGGGGGAGTTTGTCAAAGAGTGCTTGGTGGACTCTGCAGCACTAATATGCCCTGAAAAAAAAGCCGCATTTGAGCAAGTCCCGCTGTCCAGGCGAACCGTGACTAGAAGGATCGAGGACATTGCGGGGAATCTGGAGCTTCAGCTGCAACGTGAAGTGGCAAGTTACGACTTTTTCTCCTTGGCTTTGGACGAGAGCTGTGATGTCCGCGACACAGCCCAGTTACTCGTATTCGTCCGCGGGATAACACCGGACTTCAAGATTACGGAGGAGCTGGCAGCAATGCGGTCGATGAAAGGGACGACGACAGGGAGCGATCTGTTCACGGAGGTAAACGAGTGCATGGACACGCATACATATGTGAACAAACATTTTCAATTATGAAGTTTACGAAATCCAGGTATAGATCCTCTCTCACTGATGATCATCTGTCAGCTGTGCTTCGCATCTCCACCTCAGACATTCAACCTGACTTTGATGCACTCGTTAAAGCCCAGCAGAGACTAGATTTCTCTCACTGAACAAGAAAAGAGAACTTAAAAACACCAAATGAGGTGGTTAGACTACAAATGTTGGCATGTAAAGGCACCAACTAGCAGTGAACTGGGACACTTTCTTTGGAAGCCTTTTTCTCAAAATCACAGTTCAGTGATGTTTAGTGACAGTTCAATATGATGTATCTTGCTTAATATTTGGAGTACAAAGACAATATTGTGATGTCTTTAGAATGCTAAGAACCTCTTTCCAACAGTAAATGAAACTCAAAATGTGTTTGAGTGAATGTGACTGAAAATGTTCACTAATATGAGTCACAAATGGTGAAAAACGTTCATTTTGTTTACCATTGTTTTGGGAAATTTGATTTAATAAATGACATTTTTTTGTAAGGCAACCTCACTTTTTCATTGCTTAACTATAACATATACTCTTACCAGCTTGTCAAAACAATGCTATTTACTGCTTTTTATAAAGAAATACAATTAATATTATGCAGAATTGAGTTCAGCCTTTTGGCCCGGCCCTCCACAATATTTTCAGTTTCTCATGTGGCCCCATGGAAAAAATAATTGCCCACCCCTGGGCTAGACTGTTCTCAGGTTTTGTATAAATCCATCCATCCATCTTCTCCCGCTTATCCGTGGTCGGGTCGCGGAGGTAGCAGTTCCAGCAGAGAGCCCCACACTTTCCTTTCCCTGGCCACATCAACCAGCTCTGACTGGGGGAACCCAAGGCGCTCCCAGGCCGGCGAAGAGATATAATCCCTCCACCTGGTCCTAGGTCTACCCCTCGGTCTCCTCCCAGCTGGACGTGCCTAAAATGTAGTTCTGCTAAATCCACCGCGGAGAATAACCAGAAGGGCAATCAGGCAACCATGGCAACCATGCTCGGGGGGTCTTATTCACTGCTTTTGGTGTACTTTGTGGCAGAAGTACAGCGCCACTTACAGGCCCGGCATATGCACTACAGCGTCTCCAGCGGGTCGAGCGGTCTC